CAGTTTCCCATGGGATCTGTGCAAAACATGGAAGGTGAGTCCTCTGGACGATAAACTCCACTTCTGCGCTAACATTCAATCAGGGTATGGAAGAACTAATCAAGCAAGCTTTTCTGCATGTTGATGTGATTGGTCCTCACGTGCATGAAGGCCACTACGATCTCGTTGGACCGGATGGCGAGATCATCCTGCCTCAGGTCTGGGAAACCATGATTCAGCCCGATTGGGCCATTACTATGCACATGTGGCCAATGCCCGAACCTCCACCACCCCCACCGGAGCCGCCCAAGGAGGTATTCCCTCCACCACCACCCCTCCACCAGATGCGCAAATGTTCATGTCAAGCCACCTTCCGCTCAAAGGAAAAGGCAAAAGGGACAAGAGCAGGAAGCGTGAATCCTTCTCCCACGCACATGTTGTGCAAGTGCCTCCTGCCCCTCCGGGTGCTGCAGGAATGGCTCCCCCACCCCCACCACCGCCCCCTGGGCATCCCGCTGGTGGCCCGCTTCCTCCCCCTCCTGCAGTCGTCGTCATGCCCAGCGGTGGTGGCAGCTCGGGAAGTTCTCGCAAGAAGCCCACACCATCACCATTCTTCAGATGGGCTGCCGGTACCACTGCTCGTAAAGAATCCGTCAAGAAGAAGAAATAGGCTTGATAGCCAACGAACCGGAAGAGGTCGACTGGATCTTTCGAGTCTGTTGTTGAGTCAAGTTTCAGTGCTGTTAGTAGACTCCTTCACGTTTTTGTATAGCCGTGCCGCTCCCGATGCAGCGCTCTTCGATTGGTCGCAGGAGCGCTTTCTCTATGCTTCTTTCTTTGCAAGATATGCCTGATGCTGTTGCGGGGTCGCAATGCGCGCCCTGATGCTCTGTCACTTGCCAGTCATCGATTCGGGGCTTTTTGTTTTGGATTGCAAGGAAAAGTTCAGATACCATGGTCGTTTTAGCGTCGTACGTTTCGTATTGCGTGTCGCTTTGGCCTCTGGACTACCCCTTCTGCTTTGGCGTAGGCGTTGCACTTGATTTTGATTGAACTGTATGGCTGGAATGGTCAGTGAACGCACGGGTGACGGACTTATGATACAATCGTGTGTCTAGACCGATGGAAGCTGATGATAATATGAGTAACGATTCTGAAAATTTATAAGAAAATTTGTTGAAATCATGTTCTACGTTGATTGAGAAATAAGCCTCATTTCCAAAAACACCGATCCCTCCTTACCCAGCCACCATATATACTCTATCACCTCATACAAGGAAATAACTAAACAGGTGCGGCACTTCTATTACAGTCGACATTAGCATGTAACCAGCGAATTTATAGAAATCAACAGCATTGTAAACTTCTAGGTTATTTGCTGTAGTAGGCAGATAGAGCCAGCAATAAGAATTTAAACAAGGAGGTTGTCGCTAAGCTCCCCAACACCACCTACGTCATTACCTTTGCGTCCCATCCAAGGAACAACACGATGCCCGTTGTCTTGAGTTCCAGCTCGCGCAATTACACAAAAACCGGTATTTCGGCTTTCGCTTGCCACGGAGTTACTATCGACTCCTCATTGTATATGTATATGTTCTGCTTCTCACCAGGTCAAAAGAGTCATTTGGTAAATCCTACGCTCGAAGTTTGTATCTTCTATCAGGCATTCCACACCTTTCGCTTTCGATTGGCCCATTATGCGGGAATCAAAATCAAACCCTTTACTTTGCATACTCGTCTCCCTCCTCATGACAGTGCTGGCAGTCGCTGACGACGCAACGGCAACATCATACACAAATGACAGCTCTTTTCGTGACGGCTTGTTGAATGTCACGAATGAGTACCGCGTGCATCACAATGCATCAAAGCTTGAGTGGAACACGACGCTGGCCGACTACGCGCAGGATTTGGCCGAGGGCTGCGAATTCGAGCATAGCGTAAGTTTCACCTCGCAGATCTCGAGGTCACTTCTTGCTCCCCATTCAGCCCGCGCTGTTGACAGACAAACTCGATATCTCGCGACTGAAGCGGGTGTATGCATGGATTGCGGGAAGATCCGCGGCTCCTAACCTGCAATGACATATCGACTGCGCTAATACTAGAGACAATGCAGGGTGGTCCGTATGGTGAGAACCTCGGTTCAGGATATAGCAGCGGAGAGGTCACTGTTACGGCGTGGGCAAATGAGAGTACGAAGTATGATTTCAAGGCAGGAGAGTTTAGGTTTGTTCGACTCTTCATTCATCAGATGTACATGTATACTTACCAACACTACTAAGCGAGGAGACTGGCCACTTCACTCAACTCGTATGGAAATCAACTACCTCAATGGGATGCGGCCGCAAAGAATGTAATGGTGGTACGAGCGGCGGTGAGGGCAATGCTCCGGGGTGGTTCGTTGTTTGCGAGTATTGGCCTCGGGGAAATGTGATTGGACAATTTGTGGAGAATGTACAGTCTGCACCTCGCCAGGATACAGAGTCAAGAGCAGCTAGCACGGCGATCGGAGCTTTGATGTTACCGTGGGTCGGGTTCGTCACTGGATGGATGGTCGCCATGTCGTTGTGACGATTGAGCAAGAAGCGATTTGTCGTTACTATTGCAACACCATGCTTGCAACGACGTGAGAACATGACGATTGGTGCCGGTCAAATGAAAATGGCTAGCAGGCAATCATGCCAGTTCACTATCCACGAAATGGCGAGCTATAGCTTCACTGAATTGCTGCAGTCCTGCAGTTTGTCTGTTCGTGAACCCCGTCGTGAAGTTGTTTGTCGTATCGATCTCAGCGGAGCAACCCGACCATCTCAGATGGATCTTGCGGCCGGCTACTCCATGTGGTGACACCAGAGCGATCATTGTCTCGAACCTACCATACGTGATGTCGCAACCCGCACATAGCCTACTCTTATGTATACACGTAGTTTCATCCTTTTCCCGGGGACGACTTCGTCTATGCTTGACAACTTGGTCGACAACCTTTAAGTCGTATATATATTAGTACAACCAGTATACAACACATCTAGTATCCTCTGAGCACTCAAGTCATACTCTCTTACTCTTGGACAACATTCTGCTTCTACAAATGACGGCTCCGAACATCGGCTCTAGACCAAGGCCAAATGCGATAGATCATACCCGGCTTCATGCCGGCTTGAAGCCTCACAATAGAATCAGTTCCGCCCAAGGCCTTCGAAACAGACGCGATGAGCGACAGGCCAAGGAGTCTACCGCGGAAAACGTGTCAATACCCCACAAGTCTCCTACACGCCATGTCCAGCGGACGATCGAAGCTCGTATTCCCCGGAAGGTCATTGCACTCCCTGATCGAAAGTTGGAAGAGCAACTTATGATTCCACCGTCACCCAAGTACCAGCAACTAGTCGATCGTCACAGATATCGGCTAGGTTCAGCAAGATTCCGATTCTCGCGGCAGATCGGAGATGAAGAGTGCTGGCGTGTGCTTCTCCATGACACCGAAGTCGTGGGTCCTCATGGTTGTTGGGTAGGTCTAGGAACAACGAGTTGGAGATATCCATTTGGAAGTGCCTTAAACCCCTACCGGTTGCATTGCATCAATCGGAAGAATCTGAATCAACAGTTAGAAGGGGAAATACTATACACCCACGCTGCCATGAATGTGATGGGCTTTAGATACGCGTTGAAGTTCACTACCATTGTGGGAGATGTGCGTCAGCAATACGAAGTGTCGCATCTTTGCGGACATTCTCACTGTTATCGACCAACCCATCTGGTGCTTGATTCATATCGAGTGAACCTGTTAAGATCGCGGTGTTGCGGTTGTAGTACGGATAAGAGAGGGATTCAACACAACTATTGTCCCCACGCAGACCTACCAGGATCGGGTGGGCAGCACTGCTTCGAACACGAGCAATGCCCTGAGTACTGCCCAGAGCGTTTGAAACGAAAGACTTCCCGGTTGGAAGAATGAGGCATTGGCTGGAGCAGCGTTGGGTGCAGCGGATACACTAAGTGGTCTTGAATATTATGGTGGGCCAGTCTCGTTACAGGATATGTATATCGCTATACAAGCTTTGCTCAAGAGCAAGCACAAACGCCTTGCAACTCCGCAGCGCAGGCTATGAGCCTCGAGCGATTTGTTGTTAGTGAGGCACTGAGAGTGACAAGATCATCCTTGCTTGCTAATCCATCATGTACATTCTGCAGACGAACGAGCAACAATAGTGCTAAAGACGCGCGAGATCTTAGACGCGCTACACTTATGTAAAGTTAAACTTACAGGGTACTTATCTATGCAAAATGACACACTATGAACATATAGGCCCTGTTCATTAGTTAGATATGACCGACCAAGATCACGCTCGTGGGTTACCTGAGTAAACTTATTGAACTACGTTGTTTATTGGGTATGCAAAGATCGTAGGACACAATAGATTTAGAAAACAACACAGCACAAAGCAAAGATATGAATATTGATCAGACACTTGATATAGCATTCATTTAACACGGCAGAGTCTGCTCTATATTAGTAACTATCTAGGGCTTATGGAGTAACGGAGCTGCTCTGACCTACCGTCCCCCCCGTTAAAGTAAGCGCGGTCCTGACAAGGTGACTGTTTGAGAGATGTCTGCTAGTCTTTGTTATTCTGCTTAAAGTTCTTTGAACCACAATTATGTCTACTGTCCTCGTGTGCCTAGAGCTGTGGAAATGTGAGAACTCGGAAGAGTGTTGGTCGGAGGAAGGATCATCTAGTACCAAACGGGATTAGTGTCTCAAAGTGCTACGTCATACTTCGGTGGGCAGTCCGCAATGATGTCCAGGTGGCTGGACGACTGATCGCGGAAGTTCAACACGAACCACGAGGTGTGCCATCTAGTCATAATTATTCGCGTTGCTTCTTTTTTTGCTGGCATTCATATTGCTCACTCGTAAATTACGGCTGCGTCCGCCATGTTGTCAACACGTTCGCACTAACGCGATCAAACTCGAAACGGATATTGATTCAAAAGACCTTCGCGTTATGGAACGCATTAAAGATTCAGTCCTCTTCATCTTCCTTCCTTCGCTGACGGTTCAGCTCGTCGATGACCTTCTTGCCGCACGCCAAAACCTCTAGTGTTCGACTCTTATTATCGTGATCCCTCGTCTCTGGGACCAAGAAATACGTGGTCACGGCTCCTGCTACCATGAAAGCGCTCATGACTTGCAGGATATGCCCGAAATTCTGGCGTTCCCATTCGAAGTCATCCTGGGGCTTGGACTTGTCGGATTGAAATGCATATGCCAGGAAGATCTGCACCACCCAAGAGCCGAGTTTGCCGCTAGCAGCAGCTATCCCATGGCAGGTACACCGGTATCTTGTGGGGAAGATCTCAGCAGGTATTATGAATGTCGTCACATTCGGTCCAAGATTGAACGCGATGTGACTGATCACATACAGTACGATCAGTCCTGATCGACTGCTGTCGAGCAAGTTTGTCCAGGCACTCCCGGTTACGATGAAGAGTACGAATAGAACCAGGAAACCCCAGAATTGGATCACTTTCGGCGACACATACTTGACGATCTTGACCATCAGCAGACCACCGACAACTGTCCCTATGGAGACCATTACTAGGGTATGTTTGCTGTTATCACTCAGTGTCTGGTACACTGATAACTCGCTTTTGACATCACCCTGCCAGATGTGGCTGACGATCTCTGGTGAGGATAGGCCTAGCCCGTAGACTGTTTCAAAGTCAGTAGGTCTGCCGCAACGGCTTAATAGTCTACCTACATGCGAAATCGAGAAACAGCCAGGCCAATGATGTTCCTAGAAGGTACTGCCAATTCTTCTCGACTATGAAGAATTGTTTTGCATCGATCCACGAGGCGAGCGGAGGAGCGAACTCTGGGTCTCCCGGAGGAAGCTGAGCCTGCGGTGCTGCGGTGGGGCGAAGATGCACGTTACTGAGTCGGTGCTCAGATTCACTATCGCTCTCGATCTCCTCGTCGGGCGCAATCACCGAAGAGTTCGTCGAGTGCCTCGAAACAGGCCTTCGAATTTGCGGTGTGGCGGGCACATTCAGCAACTCGACTTCCCCATGTTCGGGATTCGTTTCGGGCGCGCCAAAAAGTTCGCAGTGTCCTCGAGGGTACCTTTCGTGTTTTGTAAGATGTCCAATGTATATCTTGGGCTCTCTGGGATTGTAAATCGAAAGACGAGAGCAATGAGAGCCGGCACGATGCCGATCCCGACTACAAGCCTCCAGAGTCGATCGATAGCTCGGAAACACTCCAGATCGTCAGGTCGACAAGACTGTGCATTCTTCTCAACCCAGGGCTTGTACGCCTCCACTGCAGCAAGCGACAGAACATTGGCGAGCAGTTGTCCAACAGGTTGAGCGAAGAAAACCCAGCTCAGCATTCGCGCACGATGTTTGCGAGGTGCGAACTCCGCAGTGATGACCTACTCCTACGGTTAGCATGGGTATGATCACGTTCGATATTGACACCTACAGCACTCAAAGGGTAGTCAGCCCCAATACCGATGCCTTTACAATGTCAGTGCTATTACAGTCTCAACATCCGGGTCACACCTCCTTACCCATGATCGCGCGCCAGGTGATTAGCCATCCTCCAATCGCCATACTATTCTTTTCCCCGTTCGAACTCATCAGTAGTAACATCGTACCAACGATAATGATCACCAACTCGAGCCCATACATCTTACGTCGGCCCAGAACATCTGCTGCGAAGCCGAATCCTATCTGGCCGACCATTGTGCCCGCAAGTGTTGAACACATCATGGCCGTCTTGACAGAGGACGGTACCGAGGGTATACCGGCTTCTTCGTGATTAGGCCAGTAGACATATCCCAACATAGGGGTGACGACATTCAAGGCAAAAAGGCCGAATGCATCTGTTAGGAAGCCGATGCCAGCGACTACTACTACCCAGACCTGGAAGGGTGCTGAATCAATTGTTGCGAGCGTCCATCGCCGACGCCTTATCTCCTATCGCTAGGGTTAGCAACACACTCGCAGGCAGTAGGATCATTGCGAATGAAATGGAGTTTACCTACAGGAATGCCGCTCCCGCCTGCTGTCAGATCCTCTACACCGATATGGTGGCCTTTAATTGGCCGCGTAATCCAGTTACGAAGACCCATCGTCGCGTTAATGCTGATAGCACTTTATGAAAGGGTAATCGTACTCAAGCGCGTGTGCTTTGGCAAATCTGTTTGTATCGCGTTGTCTGTCGTGCAGAACCCTCTCGGGACAGCATTGTTCATATTGCGAATGTATGAAGCTTCAGCCTCCACTATCATGCGCATTACCGAAGCCACTCTCAGAGAAATATGCACAGCCCGAGGCAACAAGGCAAACCGGTCAACAAAAAGGTGTGCATTGGTACTGGCGCTACTCATGGGTTCTCCTTCGTCGTATCCAATCTTGTTTTCTTCGCCGAAGTCAGACTCGGTGGCGTTCATTGCTGCAGGAAACACGTGCCACGGCCCTGATCTTTCAATCTTGCTGATTATCTGGGATCACTACAGATAGCTAGATGCTGGATACCATCTTTAGTTGTTCGCGTTTGGGACGGGCGCCAGCGCAGCAAGAAGCACACGACGCAAGCGAAAGGTGTGAGCTCTGGACTTCTCTGAGTGTCTGTAAGATGGGATCATAATATTGTCCAAGAGTTCAATCGAAAGCCACGTGTTGTTGGATCATAATGGCTGGGTAATCTGGGCGTCTGGTAGTCGACGATGGCCGTTCGCTTCCCCACGTGGTGATCTTCGCAACCTCATTGAACGTCAAAAGCCGCCATACTAGATTCGGTGTACCATCCTGATGCCGCCACATGCACGAACACGAAGTTTATGCCTCCTTTGGATAAGCTCACAGCTGTGTATAGTGCTTCCGATGTTAGAAGGCTCGACAGATTTACGTGCCTGGGCCATAGCAGGACGTCAGACAATATGCTAAGCCACCCCAGATGCCGCCGCGGTCTACCTTTAGGTTAGTCCATTCATGCGCGTGTTGAGAAGCTGGGTGTAGGCTCAGACGACCCTTACTACAACTTCTCATGCTTCTCTTAAGAGCTTGGAGCTCGGATGGTTGTTGTCCCTACTGTGTACCAGCAGTTCCACAACGCATGAGCAGTTTTTACACGTCCTGTGTTGCGCTTGAGCGCGGCGCAAGCCTACCAATATGTCTTTTGGATGTAGTCCGTCCGATGTGCTGAAGCTATTGGAGATCTCGACTCGTGTATACCTTGCCTTCAAAGGTGTGTTACCAGCTACTACCCTGCATCAGTATTTGCCAGGGATCGGCTTGCTAATCATTATACTCAGATGCCAATGAGAACTCAGAAGCTCAAGTTAGTGGGCTTGTAAAAGAGTTCACCACTTTTCATGGCTGTCTCGAACAGCTGGGCGAGTTGATGAAACAATATGGCCAACCAATGCCATTTCCCGTCAAAGACTTCGAAAACACGCTGAAGAAGTGTGCAAAGACCCTGGAACCGTACACTGACAATCTCGTTGACAAGAAGATGTCTGTCAAGAAATTCATCTTTACAATTCGATACATCGGGATGGAAAAAGAAATCGATGGACTGAGGAAACAGATCAGCGGCCACTACCAGGCGCTCAACATGTGCACCTCATTTCTCCAATTGTAAGTATTGTTCGTACTCAGAATCCTATCGCTGACCGCTGCTAGACGGCTGAATCTTGAAGCAACCAAACAAACTCAGCGTCTTCTCGACGCTGCGCCCTCTCGCACAGTAAACCTAAGTGGTCGCTCATACTCTACTAACACTCTCGGAGTTTCAAGCAACCGTACGCCATTGGCGCTTGCGCCTCCCGACGAGCATCCGTTATTTAGCGAATGGAGAATCTTTGACCGATGGTTGCAAAGCGAGGACGAACGCATTGCTCAAGAAGCGGGACTGTCACGGCCCCTATCGCTAGGAGATGCGCCCGCTGCTGCACCAAGTGGGGATGTCCAAACAGCGGCCATACTTTATCAACTCAGACGTCAGGTTGATGATGCGATATTTATTGAAGAAAATCGTGCAAAGCGAACCACAGCCGAAAAACGATCACACCTGGTCCCGAGCGACGCGATGAAACAGAAGGTCCGCAATATGCCACCAGCACCGTTGCGAACGTATACTCTCGATACCGAACACTCTGGTAACTTCACGAACTTTAGTCAGGAACCTATGAACGACTCTATAGCCACCATCCGTCCCAGCCTGAGCATACGGCCATCATCACCAGATTATTTTGCCTCGGTTGACTGGACGCAGTCACCAACGTCAAAGTTGCTCGATCCTGGTCGAACCCCCTCTATCTCTACAACCGGAAGTAGCGAATGCTATTCGCCGGCATCACGGTCATCAACAAGTACTACCCCAGATAAAGCTTTATCTCCCAATCTGCGACGCAGCCTTTCACACACATCGCTGGCCACCATAGCATTAGGTGACGCTGCACTTGACTGGAAACGTATCTGTCGCAATGTGCAGGTGGAACGTAAGTCTTTGAAGTACGGACCCGAAAATCACGAATGCGAGGTTAGGTGGCGATATCGAGAAGATACCGGGATCTCACTACGAGCAGTATATCACTCTACCCAAGATGGAAAACTTCGAACTTGGACTGAACAGCATTTCCCTGCCACCGGGCCATCGATACCATTGACTACCACATATATCGACGGTGCAGTATCTATCGACTTTCCACGTAGTTCGTTTGGAAGACTATACAAACAATATATTGACATCAAGTACACATTCGTTGGTCGTGAGTCAGCAGACAAGTTCCAAACCTTGTTGTACACCAACAACGGTGCCGACCCTGCTGAGCTCAAATTCGACCGACCCATCCTGGCAATATCATCAAACAAGAATCCGACTGAATGTCGTAATAAAAATCTGCGGCTATGGCGGCGCGTCGAGACACAGCCGGTAGATGGTGGGCTCGTCACATCCGAGGTCCTGGTGTTGCTATTCTACACAAGCGCATTAGAAGGGGAGGTCATTGGGTCGAAGAGCCGCACTACGCGTTCGAATGGCTTATGGATTCGGTCTACAAGAAAGATAGCGATAAGCTGACTCTTGTCTTTTCGAAAGACCCGTCTCGTTGGGCGACCGATAAGCTGTTCAAACGCCGCAAGTCATCCATACGGTCCGAGTCCGAGCCAGCGAACCTGTCTCTCCCCCAAAGAAAACGCAATGACTCTATGGAGATACCGGGATTGGCGCGGTCAGAAAGTGGTGCCTCAGCGTCGCCGAACGGCTCACTGAGGTCGTCCAGGAGTATATTTGAGAACGGCAGCGGATCTTCGAGAGCGGCCAATCTGAATCGGTTTGGGTATGCGGAACTAGAGATCAAGTTTCAGAGCAAGAAGGATAGAAGAGCGTTCTTGGACATATGGAAGCAATATGTCAAGCCGTTGAGTGCGGCTTCATGATCGCATACCGTAGAGAGAGAAATTGGCGGAATGTACTGTACTATAGTAGAAAAGTCAATACCTGTTTGACGAGCTTCTTCTAAGGGCAGTTGCTCTAAAACGTAATTCTCGGTAAAAGAATCGTGCGACGAATATGATCTCGAAGCAATCATCCTCGTATCAACACGTGTGGGTGGGTTCTGGTAGGTTTATAAAAACTTGGTATTCATCTTTTGTTCCGTGGAGTTGCTCCGCTACCATCGAAGGGAAAACACCGCACCAAGATGCTGAAAGTGATAGCTACCAAACTTACGAAAAGCTCTCACTAGTTTCCATGGACTTATTTACTCCGATGCATTTTGCGTAGATGAAGGTAGCAGGGCAGCCAACGCCAACGTCCTCGCTAGCACGGTCACGTGCTGCGTCTCTTTAGTTCCAATTGGGGCGACGTCGAGATACTTTCGATGTGGCTGACAGGTGTTCTTCTCTACGGAATCCGTACGAAGTCTGAAAAGTCGGTCTTTGTCTGTTTACTATTTTCTTACATTCTGTCGACGTTGATTCATAGTGGCAGCAAATTATGGCTGTCCTCATCTAAGTGTGCATAATACCTGGGTACAACGTCGGTGTGGAATCTGCCTCGTTCTGGTCCATGCGCTGCATACGTGTTACGTGTCAGTCTTCTTGACAACCAGACGTAGGAAAGCGCATATGAGGTAATATCCGCGGAGCCATAACTATACTCTGGCATGGTAGCACTCAGAAACAAGGTCAGCTCAATGTTGAGGACAAAGGGCTGTAAAAACAAAGGCCTAGACCGTGCGTGATGCGGCACAGTTGCTCTACAGCTTAGTTTACCAACGACAGGGTGTTGCTGCATATACATACACGAGGAGGCGTTCATGTGGAGGATTGTAATCCCTGTTACAAGAAGAAATGCGCACATGATTGGGCCTGAGGAATAAAGGCTAGAAGATCAAACAAGCCCACATTTGGAAACTTTGAAGATTGCTTAGACAACAACAGCATTACTTATGAAGGACCAGAGAGAAAATCTAATAACATTTGAGAAAAAATGATTATTGGCAGTTTACAAAGTAGTGTAAGTCTAATAACACGCAATCATCCACCTAACAGAAAATCAAGCACAAGTTGTATTCGCAAAAATCTTGCCAAACTCATCCACATTCGTAATAGCACCCTCAGCGTCGTATTCGACCCTGACTTGCTGATTGCTGGAAACAGATGGATCGCCCACAAGGTAGTTGAGTGGCTCCAGTCGCATGGCCGAATGGGCAGAGCTGAACATTGTGTTGGGCAAGTCACCAGTGTGCGGGAGGTGGTGCATGCCAAGGTTGAACCAAAGTACTCTGTGACTCGTTAGTAAGACGTGATATTATACCAGGCATGGCATTAACAGGGAGGAGAGGAATGGGGTTACGAACAAATCTTCCTGCTCCAAACTTTCATCGTCGAAGAATGTCGCAAAATCCACCAATGGATCGTCCTTGGAATACTGGTTGTAAGCATCCGCAGCCCTCGGCTCTGTGTCCTTTTGCTGTGTGACGTAAAATCGTGCGTTACGAAGGCACCCGTCTTGTCCGTGTTCGTCGAGTTAGTTTGCGTAAGGTGTATCGTACCAGCAGATCTCTTGATTCTGTAACCTGGGTACTCGCCGTATGGGTTCGGTGTATCCCTGTTCACAACA